ACGCCTGTGTAGTTTCTATCGAAAACAACTATTCAATTTAACCTTACTCTGAAACGCGTGAAACGACAATAACTTTGAAAAATAGTATACATATTTTGTCAATAATTGTTTTTCGAGCTTTTTCGTATATTGAGGTTACGTAATCTTTGCATCAATATAAGAGAACCATGATTTTGTACTTGCATGTTTACAACAACAGAAGTTTAAACTAAACGCCAGAGCAATGTAAATAAGTAAATATAATAATAAAGAAATAATTCCACATGGAGTTAAAAATGTACATAGACAACTCTGTAATAAATGTTTAGATTTTATTATAAGTATACCTCTGTCTAATATAACATGTTTTAATTTGCATTATTGTTTGCAGACCAAAATGAAAGTTTTCTATGTGTTAATGATCTGTTCCTTTATATATGTTTTTGCAGCTGATAGTATGTAATTTATTTTTACAAGTACCTACTTAAGGTACTTGTTTGAGGTTTGAAAAAAACTAAACAAAATTAAATAATTTTCAACTTTTTTACAGATGATCCAGCCGATAGAAAGGTTCTTGACACTACAAGTCAGTACACTTTTTTGTTTGCAAAATACTTTTTTAAGTTCTAAGACTTATATTTTTTATACATAATTTATTACAGACATACTGATTTACAAACATATTGATAGAAGTAAGACATTTTAGTACTTAACATTTTTTTTTATATAGCGTTTATTTGAAAATTTACAATCTAAATCGAAAAAAATAGTGGTCTAATCATATGTAAGCGACTGTTAAGTTGTTTTCACTTTCCTTTAATATTGGGTCCCCAAGTCAACTTATGGTCAAGGATAAGGCCGAGATATTTTGCTTTGTTTTGATGTGGTATGATTTTGCCATTGTAAAAGATTTGTGGACAGTTTTGAGGTCGAAGAGAAAAAGTCATGTGTATGGATTTGGTCTCGTTGATGTTGATTTTCCAGTTATTAAACCATGTTGAAAATGTATTTAAGTGGGTTTGGACATATAGACTAGCTACAGTAGGGTCTACATTGGATGCATATAGATGCATATACTTAAAAAAAAAATTGTATTTCAACCCTTAGGTTGGTTTGCAACTCTTCTTCTCCATTCTTCACGGTCACTCGCTATTTCTTTTAATACCCTATAGCTTCCAATTCCTGCATCTTTCTTGATTTGTCCAATAAATGTAATGCGAGGTCACCCAGGTGATCTTTTTCCTTCAATCAAGCCCTCTAGTATTGTGCTGTACAGTTCTTCTAGATGTCTTAATATGTGTCCCACCATTTTTCATCTTCTCATCTTAATCAAATAACGCAACTTGTGTAGAGAATATTTCTTAAAAGGGTCTCCTACACGAACAATATGATTATATATTAATTCAGTTTGTACAATATTATTAATAATCTAAAATAGATATTATAGAATAATTGTGTAATAAAATTATTCCTACATGGTTTATCACTAGTCAAAAGTGTCACGTTTAACTCAAAATGTACTTCTATTCAGAACATTTTTGTACATAATATAATGTCGCATTAAAATTTCATTTTTTTTTTTTTAAGTCAATCAATTATTTGTTTATTTCAGACACCATTCGGAACAAAATAAAACATTTTGCTTATCGAAGAAATGAATTCTCAATGAGTAACTATTATTTTACAACAAATCCGATTAAGTATGCTAGTAGAAGAAATGTTTTAGAAATAATACAATAATTGCAAAAACAATTTATCAGTACATTTTTATGAGTAATATAAGTATTAAATTTAAATCACTCAATATTTATTTGTAAATGTAACTTCATTATTATTTTTAAACATGTATTTTCTACCTTGACTTCCTCTTTTAAATTTATAATTGAACATGAAGTTAAGTCAAATATCATTTAAAATACATTTTTGTAATCATAATTTCAGAGGAATTGACTTTTATGTTTGCAATACCTGGTAATAATTGAAAATATTTCCATATAGTTGTTAGTTGTTTACAAGTATAAAATGTTTTCCTTTTAATTTCAGAACAAAATATTGATGGCGACCCTATTATTCGTAATTCATATTAATAATACATTACACGCGGCTTTTACATTAGTTTTCAATTTATGAGAAAAATCATATGCATATTAATTTTTCCATAACAATACACAAATATAAAAATGCATTTTATTTTAAATTTTAGAGCACGCATTAGAGATTCAATTGCAACAAGGAGTATTACAAGACTCAGGTAATTATAAAATTCAACATAATTTCACAAACACGTAACAAAACTGAAAGTTAAATTTCAATTGTGCTTAAAAATATTCGGTTTGAAATCATAGTCATAAACTAAATATGTTTCACTTAGTGTCATTAAACAAATTTTGGAATGACCCCAGCCAAAATATAATATCCATGTTACTTGTAATTTTCAACAAAATTGTGTCGAAGCATCTTTCATAAATAAACAATTAAATTCATTAATTGGCCAATGTAATCTTAATTTATAAAGTTACTGTTATACATAGATATAATAAAATACTTATTTTCCATAACCGTACAATTATTTATTGCATATTTTTATGTTTTTGTTAAAGGCTATACTAACGAGCAGGCTACACATGAAGGTAATTACGCTTTATTCGACAGTCGTAAAAAGCGCTTAATATTTAGATGGTTATTCGAAATCTATCTTAAGTCAATCCAGGTTTCCGTAACGTAATGAGAACAAACTGTTAAAATGAAAACGATCAGTTTACAAGTTGATAGTAAACCAAACATAACATAATACAAATATTTGTTCAACAACTATACGTTCGTTTAAACGCTTGTAATTTAACGTTTTACTTTACCTCCAACTGAACGCAAAAAAATGATACTTTCGTTAAACATTTAAACTTATAACGTTACACGTTTTAACTTCAAAAACCGCTACCCTGAACACAACGTGTAAAAATGATTTGTTCATCAAATTTTTTTGCACATAAACGTTTTAGATTTGTTCATTTAAATAATATTTTTTTTAACTTAATCTTCAATCATACAACTTATTTATTCATTGATACATATAATGCCAAACACGTCGTAATTCATATTCAATGAAACGTAAAAAAAGTTTTCTGTAGTTTCAGTATATTTTTTACGTTTTCAATCCATTTTTTGTATTATGTTTTGAGTAATATTTTAAGGTCAATAATAAAATAATTACACCCAATGGATACAAAAGAAATGGCTTTATAAAAACAATTTGTTATTTTTTTTATTATGAAATCATTTTTAATCTAAATCATAACACATATATGTACTAAAAATATATTCGTTTAAAATACAACTAACACAAATATACATTTAATTAACTTCCATTTATATCTACCATACAAATATCAAACAACAAGATTTTTTGATTTTTTTTGTTTTTTAATAAAAACTAATATCAGCTTAGAATGGCTTGTATTCACAGTCAAAATTTGTGTGCGATATTTATTTCTACTAGCATTTAAATTGTCAGTGAAAAATTATGCCAATAATTGTAGTTGCCGCACATCTTTTTACCATAATAAAATATCACAAAAAGTATTTGACATTGATTCAACTACTATTCATTTAAGTTTCTACTTTGGATTACCATTTAGAGTTTGTCATTTTACAGTTGTTATATTTAAATAACATACTAGTCGAATAAAATATTATTTGGGTTGAAAATCTGGGTAGATTTTTCGAATAATTTTTTTTTTTAATCAGACACCATGTAAACGTATAATTCCAAGAAAAACATATTTTAACGATTTGTGTGTTTGTTTAATGTGTGTTTATCGAATAATGTAATTTGTAATTTTGAAATTTTACCTTGTTTACTGAGGTTACAAAATTGCCATAATAAAAACACTTTACAAAATTATTTATAACACTTTTATTGATTTTTTCAGCTAGTGATCGAATTAGTGTGTTTGGTCTTGGAGAACAACGAAGAGATCTGTTAAAACCCTCTTTAGCTTTGTTAATAATCGATATTATGATGAGTAAATAATAAACTATTAAAACAAATAGTAGTTACATGGAAAAAATACATATTCAGACCAACAAACTTTACAGTTAACACATTACTTTTATAATTGAAATAACTACACAAATAAATCGTCCGACTAATTTTCTAGTTAAATAACCTATAAACTTAGTTCAACAGGTTATTTAACTTTTATTCCACCGTTACAGTTTTTTATTAGGTTAATATCCGTACCTTAGAGCAAAAGGGTATTTAGTTAAGAAAATTTCATTTTCCGGTATTTTCCTCAATTCACTGCCTTATATGACGTTTGTACACTTAAGAGTCCTTATAAGTTTATTGACTTTAACTAGTTAGTTAGTTATTTATTAATTAGATATTTAGAGGTGGAAGTAAAGGAAAAAATGATTGCCAAGGGTGTAAGTGAAAGTCATAGAGGAAATGTATGAAGGGGCAAGTACAACAGTAAAAAGTGTGTGTGGAGAAATGGAAGATTTTAGTGTAAGAGTTAGTGTGCATTAAAGTTTAGAGTTGAGTCCTTACTTGTTCTTTTGAGTAATGGACGAGGTTACGAAAGATATACAGGGGGAGGTGCCTTGGTGTATGATGTTTGTGGATGACGTAGTGTTAGTGGGGGAAAGTCCGGAAGAATTAGCTGAGAGACATGAAGATTAGTGAAAAACGCTTGAAGAGAAAGGACTGAGGACTAGTAAGAGTAAAACGGTGACAATTGCTTTAATTTTGGAAAAAGTTTTAGGGCTGGCCACGTAATACAGATGGGTGATAAGGAAGTGTGTGGGGTTGATAAGTTTAGGAAGAAGAAGTTAGTAAATATTAATTTATTAATAAATTATTTTATTTTTCTCTCTCCTGTAAAATTTACATTTTGTGACTCAATACACTTTTTCTCTTGGGTGAGGATATAAGATTAGCCTTAATTTTAATTTATCCAACTATGTATTTTATTGTCAGTGCAGCAAGCTAAATTTGGCTAACCTTTAAACCTTTTTTTTAGACCCAGACTACCACGGTATTGATTTTGTCTTCACATGTCGAATCATAGGGTTGTTCATGAGTACAAAATTTCCAACATCATACACAAAAACTGCTATGGTTTTACCCGACGATACTTGTGTCATTGGTCATGGAAGTGATGGCATAAAATCATACGCATACCAAGGAAAATATATACATCGTGTAAACAACGAAGACCATTCGGATGTAGGGAAAACCATAAATCATGAGTTATGGTAATTAATAATTTCTATACTCTTTTTAATAAATAACACATAAACTACAAAGTACTTCTGTTATTATATTTAAATATTTTTTTGCGTGCCACGCGAATATCAAAGTTGTCAAATAATTCAATATACTTCATAGAAGTAATAATATAATAACATGATAAATATAATAAAAGATTTATTTGAGTTTTGCCGTTTTGTTTGTCTAATGTTTATTTATTTTATCTTTTTTAATGTTATTTTTACTCTAATATTATTTCCACTGTTTTAAACACACTATTAAGTCTACTATATGAATTCACCAAGACAAAGTCAACACTATTTATGAATCGATAATTTAAATAACACACTTTAATACCTTAGTTATGGCTCTCCCATACCAATATTAACCACCGCCAATCATTAACGGAGCCAAGAGAGTTAGTTGAAGAATCAAGTATTGTCATGCGACGTTTAACCAGGGGCGGATAGGCCCACCTGGACACCGGGATTTTCCCGGTGGGCCGCTACTTATATTGACGAAGATAGGCCGATGAAAAATATTGTTATTGACGATATTGTACAACGTACATACATACAACTAAAATTAAATTATTGTAAATACAGCACCTCAATTTAACACTTTTTAAGTTTGCTAGCTTACACTGTGCTTGGTTTGGTCTGTACTGTCTTGAAAATACTAACTCCTGATTTGCATTGAAGCGTTTTTTCGCTTTTAACATTTAATTTTACCAATTTTGAAGGCTTTTATACAAAAATCCAGAAAAATGTTTTAGCTTCGATGTGGAGCAGAGATACTATTCGTTTTACAAAGATGTGGGCTTCTTTTGTCTATATATCGGGTGATTGGTTAACTATGGACCACTCAATATCTTAGAAGATATTAGACTTTTTTAATTTTTTTTTTTTAATACTTTTATAGTAATTAGTTGGGACAAATTTTATATATATTTCAAAATTTTAACACTATCCCTTATGCGTTAAAACCATATCAACTTTGGATTTTTAAATGGTAACCCCCAATTTTTTTTTGATGATCATGTTTATTTTTTTTAATTTAATTTTAGGCGTAAAAACTAGGTAAATAGATTGAGTAGTTAACGAGCTACACAGTTATAAAATTAAAGGGAGTGTAAAAAATAAATTAAATATCTTGGAGACGCTAACATATTAAGGTGACACTTGACTGCTCTCTGTTATTATTTATTGACAATTAACTTTGACCATAGCTATAGTAGCGTTTCAAAATCATAACCTTACCAAACACTATTTACTTTAGGTAAATAATTCACCGATAGTAAATAATAATGATAACCGCTATATCGACTGAAAAATATACCACCACTACACACTTTTACATTTATTTTGTAAAATAGTAGGTATGTTTAATTTGTTATCAATACCTTGTGTATATTTTTCCAGCATTTAGCAATTATTTGTTTTGGTTAATTTGACACATTTTGTTTATTCATGCGATTTGTACGTCTTAATTTCATAGTATATTATAATAATATAGTATCATAACTTACTAGATCTATGAACTTGTCAACATTTATTGTGTTTTAAATAATAACATTGATATTAAATATCCATAATCAATGTGAATGCCGAGATGGAGTTTTGCTCAAGTGACAAGTCTATAAAACCTAAAACCTTACTTATAAAATGTATGCACATCAAATATCAAAATTAAAGGTTCTTATAATAATAATATGTTATTTAAAATAAATAAAGTAATTTGAATTATGCTTGATGATATTTTAGTTAAAACTTTTATTTTACAGTATTATTACAATGTTATTTATTAAAGTTTTTTTAAAAATATTTTCACTAACAGAATTAATAATTTTACTAGTTAAGACACCAGTAAAAGTAACATTTATTAAGACCAAGACGCTAAATAATCATAATAATTGAAAAATTAGAATAATGAACTTTTTGATTAATTTTCAAGTATTAAGTAGTCGTATTTTTATAATCATTTGTTCTGTGTTGATATTAATCTACGCTAGTAACGAATCGTTTTGGTAGAACCACAGTATATACTCTATATAAGACCGTAATTAGACCACGGTAACCTATGGTTGAAATTAAAAAAAAAACTATTTACTAGGGCTCATAATATTGTTTGTTTATACAAAACAGCAGCTAATGCCTAATATTCAATACGTACAGGTACACCGCGCCGCTAGGAACACTACAGAAAAAACAGATAAGAAGACATTACCCATATAATATTATAGATTTATTATTGGTTCGTTTTCATTGTGACCGACGACCGTCAACTATTAACTTTAATCTACAGCCGTATCGTTAATCAATCTTATTTTGTGAAACGTGAGATCTGGCGATAAACGATTTTTTTCTTTAGTTGTAAAACTTATAAAAGCATCTCATAAAAACTAATATTATAATATTGTTGTACTAAGCTATAACTTTAAAAGTACTTGTCTGATTTAGCTAGTTTTTACGCCTAAAATTAAATTTAAAAAAAATAAACACGATCATCAAAAAAAAATTGGGGGTTACCATTTAAAAATCTAAACTTGATATGGTTTTAACGCATAAAGGATGGTGTCAAAATTTTGAAAAATACATTAAATTTGTCCCTCCTAATAACTATAATAGTAAAAAAAAAAAGTTTAAAAAGTCTAATATCTTCTAAGATATTGAGTGGTCCATAGTTAACCAATCACCCGGTACAGTGTAACCTTATTAAAGACTGGACTAATTCCTATTAGACTAATTTACAATTAGTTATTTTAGAAACTTATGTTTCGAAAACATTTAAAATGAATATAATAACATTATTTAACCAATGTGGTTCAAACTATATTTTTTTTCTATGTCGGAGGGTGGTGTACAAATCAATGGTTAAGATATGTCAAATATATATTTTTGATATTTACAGATGTTTCATTATGTATAAGACACTTTTTTTTAAACATTTACAATTACTAGATTTGGAAACTTATGTGTCGAAAAAATATTTAAAGAATATAGTATACATTATTTAACGAATGTTATTTAAACTATATAGAAACAGAGTTTTTAAAGTATGACGCAAATGGCAATGTTATTTGGAAAATACAGCACATAATATTATGGTCCTAAAAAACACGTGGGCCAGATAAATCATTTTCGTTTGCAACAAACAATTATGGATAGTGTTGCATAAAATTATTGTCCGACATTTCAAATATTCCTGATTATTTTCGAACACAATAAGTCAAAATGTGAAATATTATATTTAACCTATAATCTAAGATGATTAAGTTACTCTCTAAAAATACAAAGTTGGTCCAACTAAAACTATGGTTACTTTAAGGGCACAATACCTTTCTAGTTGGACTGAGGTATAGAAACTTGATCCTAATAAAAGTATGCTTATTAAAGGGACTCAATAAATTACTAGTTGTAATAACTAAATCAAAATTAGTTCCAAATAAAATTTAATTGAGCTAACTATTAATTTAGTTATTCCACCTAGAAATGTATGTGTATTAATCAAAATCACTATATTAATCAAAATGTAAGTTAGACCAACTAAATATTTTTTTTTTTAGGAGGGTAGTATACAAACGAATGTTTTAGATATGTCAAATATATGTTTTTTGATATATACAGATGTTGTATTCAGGATAACACATTTATTCTAAAATAATTCTAATTTGTAGTTTCCCTTTTTAAAAACATTTAGAATTACTAAATTTGAAAACACATGTAAAAAAAAAATTCAAATGAATATAATATACAATATTTGACAAATTTTATTTAAACTACATAGTAACAGAGTTTTTAAAGTATGACGCAAATCCAACCGGAGTTCAACGTCCGTAGTGTGCCCCACCAGTTTCCGGCTTTCGGCTTAAGCTATGGCGACAGCACTCTAATCCATTCATGGTGAGGAATGCCCGCTTTCTCAAGGACCTCTTCAGCATCAGTCATGAAGGCACCCGGATCTTCTTGTCTTTTCCCGGAAAACTCCGGCAAAGAAGATCGCGCCAACTGCAGGCTCTCGTGGGAGATAAGGGATGTATCGTGGAAGGTGACATATCTATCCCTTCTCGGCTCCCTGGTCCTTTCTTCCGTTCGGACTCCGTTTAAACCAGTGTTCGCGGTCAGTTTGTTCGAGAAAAGTGGTCTGCACTGAACTTCTCCGTTAGGTAGGTGAGTATATGTTAGTATGATTAGTATTCGGCCACCACCGGAGTCGCGATGTGACCGCGTCAGTATTTTCTAGGCCGTACAGTCCAAACCAAGTACACTGTAAACAAGCAAAATTGGAAAGTATTAAATTGAGGTGCCGTATTTACAAATAAGCATCAGATCGTTATGTTGGAAGTTATTTTATCCGAGAGGACCAGTACAGCAGAAGATAGGCATAATAGAATCAAAGCATAGAGGTGACGGAGAGGCCACTGGTCTACAGGAATTATTATAAATAAAAGTAATAAAAGTGAATTAAATCACTTTCAAGTAAACGCTTCGATGCTTTAACGCATGAAATATTCCTTATAAATTTCTACTCTAGTTCAAACTAGAACTGAAAAATAAATTAAATAATTTAAGAGGTCATATTCCTATGAATTGTTTTAAGCCATATATTATAAAATTACTAAAATCTTATAGTTCTACCGATCAATTTTTATTTTTTATTTTTGTTGGTTTTTGGTTTAGAAGAATTTGATTTTTCTACTTTTTTTCTACAAAAGAACCAATCGCAAACCATTTCGGATACATAGAGATGATACTCAAGTAAATCGGTCCAAAGGAAAAAAATATGTGACCCTTATTTTTGGATATTAGGTTTATTTTTCACAGTTTTTTTTTTACAAAAGTTTAACAGCAGATTTTTAAGAAAATTGTTTGTTTGTGTTATTGTTCCATTCTAAATTATTCTAGATATGTTCTTTAAATAGGGCACTATCGATAAACGTTGAAAATATATGCATATATTTTGCACATGAGTAAACAGTTTTAAAATGTGATAAGTAGGAACATAAAAAAATAACAGAATAGGATTGCGTGTATTATGAATGCCATACAACGCAAATAAAACCGTTCTTAAATGTCTGTTGCTTAAAGCAAATTGCATGGTTCAACAGTTAAAACTTGGTACTGTTTTCATTCCATAAGTATATTTTCTTGT